AACTCAAACAATTTCTATGATTCTACAATTCTGTAATTACAGTAGTGTTCCACTGCCCACTCCATCACACTGATGCTCCACATGGTGTAGATCAGATGAGGAGACCTAGAGCTCAGTCCTGCTCCCATCTGAACGCGTTGCAAACTTCAGCTAACTTTAAGAAGTCAGAGGAGGCTCTTAGGAGGCAGTGATAAAAAGGACTTGTATGAGAGATATTTTCCCCCTGCTACAAGGAGGGGTATATCAGCTGCTCATGGAATTGAGAGCTCATGGTTGCACGGTTATCTACATCTCTGAAATGGTTGTTGAAATTGATGGGTTGTTTTCTGTTAAGTTTTAGCTCTGTTAAGGATAGCTAGAAAGGATAACTAGAAAAATATCTGAGTTTAGAGTCGTTTGTTTCTTTTTTCTTTTTTCTTTTTTCTTTTTTTTTGCAGAGCCATAGGGAAAGTGATTGCATTGTCTGATGTGAGGAAACATGAAAGACTTCAGGAAACGCTCTGTTACCAATCTCTTTCCCTGCAGTTCTCCTGTTAAACAGATTTTCTGTTCCAAAATGCTGAAAATCACTTTGCGAAAAATGCCTCCCATATGGTACAACTGATTTGCAGGCACTTTATTGTCATTAAACCATTATGGTCCAGATAGAAAGTCAGTATCTGCTCTACTGATAACTCAATAAAATCTGCTCAGCCTCTAACAGACCAGCCAGGCTTCCAAGGATGCTTTGAATAATTGAATCCCAGGGTCTATCAGATCAGCCTGAGGGAGGTGGAGTGCTTTGAGGTGGCCTTTGATGCCTTTTTCTTTTCTCCTTGAGAATTTCGAGTATGCTTTTCAGAAGAAAGTTTCCTGTATCTGTGTAATAAGGACTTGGATCATAATTAGTTTCTAGTAGCTGTTAGCATCCTAAAGAATTGCTTGTGTATAAGCAGAACAGCCAAGAAAGACACAGAAATAGGAGCTAGCCTGCAAATATTTGCAAAGTTAGTGTGAAGAAGGATAATTGCATGTGTGGCCAATACAAGCATAAGCAGAAGTTCCTAGCTTCTAATTAGTGTGTCATATTGCTGTGTTTGTGCTTCAGATATCAAACAGCAGTTCTCTTTTCAGACGTGTAAATAGTAACTCTCCCTTATGTTTTAAGAAGTATCATTGTAGCACTGTAGTTATTTAATACAATCTCTGAAAATATTTCTGTTTTGCTTCATTTTGAGAAGTCACAACTGTTACCGCTGAGTGCTCGGGACCTCTGACTGTGTTTCTGTGAATTATTCTTTGGATAATAATCTCCCTTTTTTATAAAGCAGGTTAATTTTTAGTTTTCATAATCAACAAAATCATCAGAAACATCAGCAGCTAGCAAAATCAGTTTATTTATTTATCTGTACTGTCAGAAGTTTGAGTTCATCAAGGGTAACCAAGTATTATTGTAAATACAAGCTATTGCAAGGGTTAATAGCATTTTCAGCACAGTGTGGTAGATCTCTAGCTGTTTCAGATGTGTGAAGCTGCAGCCACATGCGTTGTTTCTCTTGCTGCTTCCTTGTTAGCATATTGCCTTTGTCATTAATGATGAAGAAACTTAAATTTGTTTTGATTGTACTCGAATGTAATGTAGGATTTTCCCTCCTTTCAGAACTTCTGCTGTTCCTAGTACACTGATTACAACAATTTGTTATATGATGAACTATATTTTTGCACTGCAAAAGGCTTTTTAACAACTTGTTTATCTGTCAGTATTGATACAGCGCTCGGTGTGACCACCTCAATGTCATGTACTTATAATCAGGTGGTGCAAGTAATAATTAAAGGTGGCTCTATGTATGAACATTTAGAAGAGCAACTATGGGAGGGAGAGAGCAGTTCTAATATACTGAACTATTTTTTCTGATTGTGACAGGTACTCGTGCATATTCATACAGTATTTCACCAACAGAAGTGGTGACCCACTCCTGTCAGCTGGGTTTTGGATGGAGAGCAGTGTCCAGCTAATGGCATAGTAGCATTCAGTAGTAGAGTTCAGTCCCATGAGGAATCGTGGATCCTTGGGAGAGTCAGCTGTGGGATGTGACAGTGGGATGCTGGATGTTGTGTCAGCCTCCTGATTCTCTGGCTGATGGCTGCCTTCAGGGGCATTTTGAGAGGACCAGTCAAAAAAACACAAAAACAAAAGGGAGTGCCTCCCTCAGAGGCTCAAGTGAATCAGCTCAGCATTAAAACCCAAATGAGGGCTTGCAAGGGATTGCAGATGCTGCATGGGGTTGTGGTGGTGCTGCAGGAGGTTCTGCCAGAAGTCTCATCCGGAGCTGACCCTGGCCATCAGTGAGAGGCAGGTGGTTTGGGACACTTGCCTGGCCCTGGGCTTGCCCTCTTCTGTTCATCTTTTGGATCTTAAGTTCACGTTGCTCTGAGGAAGATGGAGTTTCTTAAACGACTTTCAAAAAAGTGGTGGATTCATCAGCAAGACAGACTGAAGGTGTTAATGGGCAAGGATAGCATCTAAATTTAAGTTGAGCTCGTTTATTAAAGAAAAGGACTATTTTAAGATGATTTTACAACTGATTTAGGTTTCATTGTACTTAATAGTTGTTTAAGCAATGCCAGAGATTATAACTTCAGTCTGCAGAAATTCATATTAGCTATAGTGGAATAAATGGTTTGTGAACAATCGTTTTGTAATGGAGCAGTTCTCCTTCCAGCTGAGAACACTGTTGAACAGCTGTGTGCAGATTCAGCTTTCCAGCACAGAAAGCTGGAAAAGAGTGGGGCAGTCTCAAGATTTCGACTCAGCGTGATGCTGACTGAATGCAGATGGCTTAAGTGGTTCCTGTCTTCAGTTCTGTGCTTTGCCTGTGTCTTGAAGGCTGCTGCTATTCCTCCAGCAGTGCTGGCTGAATGACGCATGCAATGTCTGTTTACATTTATTAGCCAAACTGTAGAAGTGTGTTTGGGAGCGGATTCACATCAGGCACCACTTGTAGCTGCTGCAGTTCTTGTGGCTGGGAAGTAAGAGTGCATCGTTGCTGGGCTGCTGAGAGCATCTGACGAGCAGGAAGTAGTGAAAATGGCTGGAATTCAAAATGGGTTGTAGGTAGTGAGGTTGTATTTACTTGGGCTTTCCATATTGAAATGTTAGTTCATCAGGTAAAAGAAAAGCATTCCTGTAACTGCAAGGGCATTCAGAAATGGAGGGAGGTCTCGTGGCTATTCCTGGCCTTTGCTTACATGTGAAAATGTTCATCTTGTGCACAGATGCACTTGCTTACAATTTGGGGCATCACTGACACCAGGCCGGAGCAAAGGGTGGATTTTGAAAGTGACAGTGTGAGTCACTGAGAGAAGACAAATGCAGCAACACACAGAAGAACCACAAAGAACCAGAAAAAGTTAAATGTATAGAATATGTGGAGTAACTTTGTGTTTGGGATTAGCTCTGGGTCTGTAGACTCCGAAATACTGACACCACTGGCAAATACTTGCAGCAAGTGCTGTTGTGTGATTTTGCAATTCTGCAGAGGCCCGGAGAGAAGCACGTTAATCCTGTTGCCACACACAGGGCAGTCTTGTTGGAAATCAGTGTCACTAGGGGTTGGCTTTCCCAGCATGTCAAGAACCTGTGGTAGTTTCTTCCTCCTCTGTTGCAGAAGTGCAGTATCTCCATGTCATCTTTGAGGAAAAGTCTGCTGGGTGCAGAGGAATCCAGCATTCTAAGTGACACTGCAGGCAAGAGGAAGTGAAGGGTGATGGGTTCAGGTGTTCGTTGGTCACAGAAGGCATCTGAAACCTGTTCTTGTATTTGATGATGGCTGCTGTGGTCTTTGCAAAAACATTGGCTGAATGAAAGGGGGGATTTCTGTGGCTGTAACAAGAATGGAGCAGGATCAATCATCAGCATCCAGTTCCAGGCACTGGTGTGTTAGGAAAGACAGTCATGAAGAGCTATGTTCTCTGGCATGGAAGGGTTCATGGACATCCACAGGGTTCCATGCATCATCCAGAAAGCAGCTAGGCACTGTTTTGTGGAGCAAGTTGAGATTTACTCAGTGGAATATCAGGAGGTTTGGATCATAGCATAATTTCCTGTAAATGAACCCTTTGCTTGACTTGAGATTGCTGCACACAGGTAGATGGATAAAGTCAGCATCTGAAGTGTCAGACAGCTCTGTGTGCCATCTCGGCGTACCCCAGCTGGAAGCAAGTGGGAACAGTGGGTGGGGTTCCTGAAAGGGGACTGCAGCCCCGTCCTGCTCCTCTGGGTGACCAAGCTGCCTGGATTCCCCTGTCCTAAGGCAGTGGGGAGCCACAGTCTGCTGAACCTGCTGGTTTGGCAGTTTCATTTGGATGCGTTGACATGGGCTGTCTGCATCGGTTTTCTGCCCATGTAATGAGCTGAATTAGTTCAGGTGCTGAGGCTGCTGGCCAGGCAGGGACCACCCTTTGCAGCATCACTTCTGCAGTCCTGTTAGCTCATGGCTGGTGGTGTTTGAATAGGTGCTGTAAAACCAAAGGCCAGTGCAGGTGGAGAGAGCATGGGTTGCGTGTGTGGGTTTGAAATAATTAATAGTCTGATTAGGAAAAATTTAGGATTAGAGAAGGTATTGGAGAGCTAAGAGTATTAGAATGGAGCAACAAAATAAAAACATCATCCCTCCACTCTGGTTCCTGCGGAAAGCAGCGCATGCTTTTAGCATGTGAATAGCTGTGGTTCTGAGAAAAGGGAACAGAGTCAAACTAATGGAGGATCACAGTAATCCTGACAACTTTCTCTGAAGACATATTCTCTTCTCTACTGCTTTTTCCATTAACAGTGAGCTGGTTTGCATAAAGTAGGTGCTTAATGTGTTCAGGTTGATGGAGGAGGAAATCTTGCAGTATCTTGCTTGCTTTGGTTGCTGTGCTTTGCTGTCCTAGGGTTTGGTTTGGTGTTCAATGGCCAGAATGCTAATGATTGAAATAGTTGCTGATGTGCCTCCTGCCTTCCCTTTGCTGTCTTCTAGAAAATCTCCAGAAGAATTGGACATGGATAAAGTGACAGCAGCCATGGTACTGACCAGTTTATCCACCAGCCCTTTGGTTCGCAGCCCTCCCATCCGGCCCAACGGTAAGCCTTGTTGTGCTGAAAAAGCCACACCTGGGAATGGAGGACAGCTGGTGTAGGGGAGCAGGGAGCTGAAAGGAGAAGAGTGGCTCTGCTTGCTGGCATAACGGTCTGCTAGCAGCATTGGGAGCTGGTTGGCAGGAGTTGCAGTGCAGTGGAGGAGAAGGCAAGAGAGGCTGGAAAGTAGTAATGCTGGGATAGCACCAAGGTGCAGGCCACGGGTGAAGGATGGGCAGAAAGGAGAAGGAAGTGTTTCCTTCCCAGTGAGCTGCTCTGTGAGGTGGGAGATGCCCTCTGACCAGGGAGGACAGGAGGGGGAACAGGTGCCACGGAGCCTTCTGTCCTCACTGAGGCTCTGCCTGTCTGAACAGTGTGTCTGCAGTTGCTCATACACAGTACATGTACCAGCAGTTGCTCCTGCCCATACAGCACTGAGATGGGCTGTTCCTCAGCTCTGTGATGAGCTGAGGAGTCTGTGGGCTGCAGCCCTTGTCTGACATCTGTGTGGTACCGGCCTGCAATGGCAGGGCTCTGCTTAAGGCTGGGGTCTGCAGTTCCTGCCCAGTTTATATGTGCTCTCTACAGCTCTGGGGCCTGCTGTCAGACCCATAACCCCTTACAAGGCTGCTTAATTCATGGTGTAACATGAGGCACCCAGATAAAAACACACAAGAAGTACGTGATCATAGTAGAAAGGCTAAGGAATTGTGATTAATCTATGAAAGCTTGGCTGGAGATACAAGAGGTGGTTAAAACTGATACATGTTAAGGACTAATCTTAAATGAGGACCCCTCATTAGGAAGTATCAGCCTTGTTTGTATGTCGCTGGCTTTTCTTATTCACTTGCAGCTTTTAAAATAGATGCTGACTGTACTCCTGCTGTAAATGAGTGCTAAGAGGAATACTTACAGATTGTAGTTAATAGGAATGTACTCTTTGCAGATCTCACTGTTGCCGGGGATGACCCTCTGAAAGGCATTATACTTAGCAGACTTTGTAAGGGCAGGTAGTGGCAGGATGAGGGGAAATGTCTTCAACTGGAAGAGGAGAGATTTAGACTAGATATTCAGAGGGCATTCTTTACTGTGACTGTAGTGAGATGCTGGAACAGGTTGCCCAGTGAGCTTGTGGATGCCCCCAGCCTGGAAGCATTCAAGGCCAGGCTGATGGGGCTGTGAGCAGCCTGGTCTGGAGGGAGGTGTCCCTGGCTATAGTTGGAACTAGGTGATCTTAGGGGTCTCTTCCAACTTCAACCATTCCATGACTCTAAGATTCTATGATTAAGTGTAATCTTTGAGGAATGCCCCAGTTTTAAAGGAATTTATATGAATTTATTTATTTAAAGGAATTTATATTATGGGCTGTTTCTTTTTTTTCCAGTTTCTTTGCAGAAAATGTAAGCTTTGTCCATTTAGCTCAGTAGCTGGAAGTGTAGCTGTGAGAAGCCACAGATGCCATCTGTGTTGTGGCATGCACCTTCCAGGTGTTTAAAACCAGCACTGTTTATTGCTCATCACTGCTGTGATGAGCCCTGAGGAGGCTCTGACAGTGGCAGCCCTGTGGGATCAGAGCAGCTGGGGCACACTGGGGTCCCGTTAGCAACCCTGTCATGGTCTGGTGCTGCCTGTGGGGCAGAGTGATGTCAGTCACCTCCGGCAGGCCGAGCAGGTGGCAGCTCCCAAAGTGCAAATTAGCTGGCGTGGCTTGGTTGGGAAGATCTCCCAAAGAAGCCTCTTTGAATTACTAAGAACTAAATGGTAGCTGATGGATGCATTTGATACTTCTTTATGCAGGCGGAGTGCTTGATTTGATATTCTTCACATAGACTGTTTGCATCTTGCCTGAAATCTGGGAAGACAAGCCTGAAAAAGCAATAGAGATATTTTCAGTAGTCAGACAAGATTTTGAAGCTGTTGTTGAGCACGTTCTCCCTGAATATCTTAATATTTCCCAAGTGGAAGCTTACTAAAGATTTCAATAAAAATGCAAAGATTGGATAATTTAAAACTCTCTTGGTATGGCAAGGCTGGGCTCTGCTCTTAGCAGTATGAGGTACAAACCTAGTAATGATGAATTCCTTGTACATCCTTTCCCCTCACAAAAGAGGCAATAAGCAGCAGTAATTACAGGAGGATTTCTTTTAAAATAAACTCTTTAGAATTTTGCCTGGAAGTAAAACAAAATAATGATATTGGCATTAATGTGAAAATCCAATCTTTGCTGGAATTACTGGGTGTGATTGCCCACATAAATTGGATCAGAGTTTGGCCCTTGTTTCTCTGCAGCTGAGTAATGCTTGGTCTGGTTCTCTTTCACGCAACTCCAGCAATGTGAAAAGAGCACCAAAGTAAGAGTAAGTTGCATTTATTTATATATTGATCTCCTTTACATTGGCAGATTTGTTGGTTTTAACGAGAACCAGTGTTTGTTTTCTTTTTTTCCTGTTGTCAGCCTTATTCACATTTCACACACTACTTGTAAGGCGTTCTCTTGATCTAAATCTCTTTCTCAGTAAGGTGAGGAGGAGCTAGAAACACTGAGAATACAAAGTACCACTGTAAATGTGTCAGAAAGTAGTAGTTGAGAGAGTGCTGTTTCCTTTGTTTATTTGAACAAATGGAAATTTTAAACTATGCAAAGTTCACAAGTTGATACCAGATGTATTTCTTGGCTTTGGCCAGCAGCTCAAGTACAGATACTTACAAGAAGCAAAGCCTACCTCGATTACAGTCATGTGAAAACTCAGAAGTCTGTAGCTGTGAGTCAAAACATTACATTTCGTATATTTTAGTTATTAGCTACAGGAAATGTGTATGTCCTTTTGCAAACAGGATTTATTTTTTCAGGAAAAGTGGGGTTTGTGATCAGTGCCCTCTGTCAGTAAGTGCATGGATTTGGCTACTGACTGTGCAAGGAGGTATTCTTACACGTGTGCTTACGTGATGAAGCACCAAATTCAGTTTTATGAGCAGCTGATGTTAATGATTAAAGGTTTCATCCAAAACCAACTGAACCAGGCGTAGCAGTCATTTGTTTAAGTGAGGTTGGGGTAAGGCTTTGGTAGCAGTTGGCAGATGTTATTTTTTCTTGCTGATGTCATTAGTTAAATTTAACTGTAAGAAATTGGAAAGGAATGAAGGAGTGACTTCTGCAGAACTCTTAAAAGCAGGCAGAGACTTGAAAAGACTCCGTCTTGCACTTAGAATGAATAATGTTTCTTCAACAGCTAAAATCTTACATCGTTGCCAGCTCTGAAGTTGGGTATTGCACAATGCTCAGACACCCGTGGTGCCACTGGGTAAACTCCTGATGCCTGAGTTCTGGGGAAAGCTCAGCAAACCATCCATGCACACGTGCGCATAGATGCTTCCTGAAGCTTCCTATGGTGTCTGGCATTGCCCTGCTGGATGTGCTCAGTCCACACATTTGCTGGTGACCCCAGCGTTTCTCTCCTGCCAGAGGCCCTTTAGGGGCTAAGAAGAGTGACATGCCACATTTAGCTCCTGAGGACCTCAGCACGTGAAATGCAGCTCAAATCATGCCTCAGACTGCAAAGGCAGTGCTTTACTCCCACCTGCCACATCGTGGAGTGACCGTGGGCTTGGGGGTCTCTTACAACCTAATGCCAAGGTAGCTGCTGCAGTGAGGGAGGGCTACCTGCAGCAGATAGGTGAAAAAGCAATCCAGGGCCACAAAAGCCACATCTGAAACCCCATGCCTGTATTAAAAAAGGCAAATCCTTCTGAGGATATGTACCACCTCCATTACACTGGAGTCAAAATAGATGGAGGTGCACACACTGGCAGATTATAAGAAGGCAGTGAGAGTGCAATTATGGTCTCCTGTGGTGTTTCAGTAGTTGGATGATGATTCTGTTTTCACAGATGCAGTTGGTGTCCTGGGGCTCACAACTTGTGTCCTCCTCCTGGGGTCTCTCTCCTCTTTGTGGTGCAGTGGTTTGGAGCTTGCCCTTACATCCCACTGCAGTTGTGTGTTTGTGGTTAATAGTTGGGAATGTATTTGAATGTTTTTCCTTGATTGTGCATGCAGTATCTGAGTGCTTGTTGCTGTTTATGCTTTAAAGCAGGTTATTTGCCCAGAATTTGTTTAAAAATACTTTTTTTTCTAAACTACAAAATCAGGTGTGGAATCTGGATGTTGACAAATGTAATCTACGTGCTGTGGGATAGATGTAATTGTCCTCTCTGCGTCCAAGGCTTCCACTTTTCTTTATTTCTTTATCCAGTTAATTGCTAACATTGTATTTAAGCATTAGATAAAAGAACTCCTTAGCCCTAAGATGATACTGTTGTAATGACAGCTTTTGTTGTTCTTGACAGAATCCCTAAACGGATCTTGGAAAGAAGGAGGATTTGTGCCTTCTAGTACCAGCAGCAGTGGATACTGGAGCTGGAATGCTCCCAGTGACCAGTCCAACCCATCTACCCCATCTCCACCTCTGTCAGCTGACAGCTTTAAAGCTTTTCGAACACCTTCCCAGCCAGATGATGGCATTGATGAAGCTGAAACAAGCAACCTTCTCTTTGATGAACCCATCCCTAGGAAGAGGAAGGTTAGCCTCCTGTTAAATTCCATGCCCATAGGCAAATACAGTGTCAGTAGACTTACTGTGCTGTGAGAAAGGAACACCTCACCTAGAGAGAGCTCTGTATGCGTGCATTCCCTCCTTGGCATTCAGTGAACATAGGTACTGAGCCTAGTCACTGTGCCTAGCTCAGCCTAGTCACCTGCTGCACGTGCCATCAGCACCACATATTTGCTAGCAGATGGTGAGGTTCTGCTGATCCTCCTGCTCAGAAAACAGTGATTTCCAGAATGCGTTGCCTCTGGCCAATCGAGGGATTCTTCCCCAATTTGGCAGATTCTTTGTGTGAAGGATGCAACAGGTAGCCTTTACGTGTCATCACAAAGGCTGCACGTGGCCTTGATATTTCTTGTTCCGTGGAAGTGCTGTTTGTCTGACAGTGTGTCAAATACCTTAATACTGCGATGCTTTCACTGCACAAACATATGGGGTGAAAAAAGGAGGGGGAGATCAAACCTGATGGCTTTTGATACAGCATTAGCAGTGGCCAAATTCATCCTTGGTAGGAGTCTGCAAAAGCAGACTAAATAAAACACTGAGTAAAAAAGAAAAAAAAAAGTCCAAAAAACCAAAAAGGCACCTTTATGCTAGCAAGCAGGCTGCTCTTGGAGAGAAAAAGAAAACAAAGACATGGCACTGGTCCAGGTTCTCTTCCCTCCCAACACAACAGGACAGGTTTTGCATAGCAAGATGGGAAAGGACTTTATGCAAGGAGGAGAAAAAGAATCTATTCTTTCATAGTGACACTGATTCTGACTCAGTCTGGGGCAGTTAATTGCTTCACCACCAGCAGGAGGAAGTTCTAATGATTGTTTAAACGTGTTCAGATTTATCTTGTTGCTCCAGAAGTTGCTTATTTGCTGACCAACGCTGTTCTGCCCTTGTTTGTGGGAGAGGGGTGGTTAAATGTTTTTGCTTTTTTCTGAAAGGGAAAGAAAATATTTTGGAGGACACATTTATTAAAATAAATCAGAAGTTGGAGCTGGTTGTTAAACTAAAGCAGACAGTTTTGGATTGTGTGAGACAGGAGGAGTAGGAATGCAGAAGCGCGCTGCTTTGCCTTTTACTTGTCAATTGAAGTGATGCTTATTATCATCACTGCTATTGTTGGGCCATGATTAGACAGATGGTTTTACAGCTGCCATCTTTATTGTTATGTAAGTTGCCTGTGAGTATTTCTATTTATGTACTCACCACAGATACATTCCACTGTCTCTTCCTGTTCTCATGGATTTTGCTCTGAATGGCAAATGTTTAACTTTGATAAATAATAACATTACCTGCCAAACTTTGTTACAGTTTAACTGCATTTCCTGCACTTCTTTTTTTAATTCTGATCCCAGCATGGTACTTTATCTGAGTACATCTTCACACGTTTAGAAACTGAAATGAAAATGTTCGGGTTAATTCCTATTTAGGGCTTCACACTTATTCCTTTTGATTTTGGAAATAGCGATTGATAACCTTACTTCGACTCATGAAAGTTTTTTCCATTGCGTGTTTCAAAATGTCACATTAGCAACCACATTCCAGTAAGAATCACAAAATCATAGAATGGCTTAGGTTGGAAGGGACCATCCAGTTCCAATCCTGTGCCTTGGGCAGGGCTGCCACCCACCAGCTCAGGCTGCCCAGGATCCCATCCAGCCTGACCTCACACGCCTCCAACGATGGAACATCCACAGCTCTGGGCAGCTGTGCCAGTACATCACCACCTTCTGAATAAAGAATTTCCTCCTAACATCTCACCTGAATTTTCCTTCTTTTGGTTCAAAGCCTGTACTTGCTTAAAAGTTCCCATTAAGGTAGTAGTCCCCGTAATTCCCCACCAGATCTTCTATCTGTTATTTTCTTAAATGAAAGTTAAAGTCTGATGATGCAGTTGGACTCGTCAGAAATGGAAGCACGGTTTATGTTCTGTATTTCCGCCCTGCGATATTTCTTTGGGTTATACTAAAATTTGCACATTCCCAGCATGGACAGTAAAGCTAAAAATGCAGTAGATTGTTTTTGCCATCTAATCAGAGAGGGGTGTTGAACCGCTCTGTGTTCATAAAGATGTGCCTGGTGTTGGGGATGCCATAGGGGAGCTCCTGTGAGGTACGTGGGAAGTGTAGTCTTCATGTTGTCATGTGGTTGGTAGAGATTTGTTGGTTCTTAAGCTGATTACTGCAATCAGCTTTTGCTTTGACAGGCCAGCAGCTGAGATTTTTTTTCAAGTCCTACTCTGTTATCTTTATAGCAAATGCTGAAATTTATCATGTACTCAAGTGCAATTCCAGATGATCCAAAGTGAACCAATCACGAGGCTGATTTCTGTTGAAGACACAAAGGAAGCATGTGCTCATCTCTAAGGATATGCTTGTTTTTTTAATTGAATGTTATCTGGACATAATTACTTAATCCTACGTGTAGCTTTTGAAATAATGCATTCTGTAGTATTAGAGAAAATGATTTTGGGGAAGCCCAAATTATTCAGGCATTAACATTCAAAATTAGAAATGTGTAAAATTGGTTTCATTTGAGGGACTTGAAACTGGAATGGGCAAATTAACAACAAGCCGTGCCAGAGAGCAGGGAGAGGTAAAGCTTGGGCACAGGCCACTCCTTTCTCTGCACTTTGTAGAACCCAGTGGGATTGTGCTGTTAGCTGAGACATGGCAGTGTTAGAAATGGGGAATTAGAGGCTGTAGGCATTCAGCGATTGATTCGGCTTACAGATAAGACTGTTTTATAAGTCTGTGCTTGTTTTGGGTTGCTTTCTCCTTCTTCTGTCCTTCTTGTGACTAAGAATACATTGCTCTCTTGTTTCAGAACTCAATGAAGGTGATGTTCAAATGCCTGTGGAAAAACTGTGGAAAGGTACTGAGCACAGCTGCAGGGATTCAGAAACACATACGGACCATCCACCTCGGGTAAGAGACCGCTGCCTTCAGAAATCAAAGGGATTTGCTGTGCTTTGCCTGGGAGATGACTGAATTATCCCTGTCTTTTCTAAGATCCAAAGGTTTCTGGAGTAGTTGAGGAGCAATGTGTAGAGGTGAACAGAAACTTCTTCCAAAAGCAAAGCACTTTCTTTTCCAAGCTTTAGTGAACTTTGCTAGAAGGTCGCAAGAAGCTGTGATCACACTGCGCTTCCCCCAGCGGCAGCACAGCTCAGAAACATTTGATGGAGAATTGTTTCCAGTAATGCCTGCTCCCTGCTTGTTATGTCCAGTCTGCAGCTGGGTGAAAGATGGCAGGTTTCATGGTGCTGCATGAGTACTTTCCAGTTTCGTTTCACATTGAATTGCATTCTGAGTCAAAGCAATTAAGAAAACTGAAAATGAAACCAAGCTGCTAATTCCATGTGTGTTTATTTGGACTAGAAGCAAAAGCTAATGAATCTTGTATGACATGAGGTTTTTTGAGAGCTTTAGTTTTCAACTAAATTCTCCTGTGCAATTCACTGAGTGACCTAGCTGTTTAATATATTAATTACATGGAGACCCAGTGCTACCTCACAGCGTTAGTGAGCAGGCAGTCTGGGAGACAGTCTGGACATGATGGCAGTGGAAGGGGGCAGGGTGTCCAGGTGTTGCCTTACATGCATATGCAATTGAATCTTTTTTCTCATTTCCCTTCTTTGTGGTCCTCACCTGAGGGTTATGTGGATGTATGTGTTGTGTAAGTCTGTGTTACCCAGTGCTTATAAATTAAAAGTGACTGCGAGTTGTAGTCTGGCATGGAGCTCTGGGGGGTTGTGCAACAGTGCTAGTAATTGGTGTTGGGCTCAAGTTCCAAAGACTGAAGCTGTCGGAAAAAATCTCTTTCAAAATGCAGTTATCTTCTTTTTGCTTCGTCCTTTGTACTGCTGGGACATCTTTTGAATGGCATGGGGCAGGGAGAAGTAAACAGCAGAGCTTCCCAGATGGAAGATTCAGGACAAAAAAAATCATGTATGAGCCGTTAGGTTGAATTTTAACAACGTGAGTGTTGGGAATGTACTAAAATAGTGGTTTGTTTGGGAGTTCCTGATAATGTGTAGACTGTCAGGAATAATTGCTTGTGACTGGGCTGCTTCATGTCCAGCATTTGTTGTCTAGCACACAGCAGGTGGGGTCAGGGGATGCAGGGACAGGCAAGCCTCTTGCAACTCCTCCCTCAGTAAGTCTGCATCTGAAGGTTAGGACCAGACAGTCCAGCATGGGCAAGCCAGCCCTTAAGTGTCCTTTCTGTGCCCATGTTGGAGTGAGTCGCATGGTGAGACTGTTACTGAGCAGCTATTCTATTAGGCCACGGAAAGTTACAGAAAACCGTGTCCAAAACAATGTTTGACTTAAGAAACTAGTGATAAGATAATAACTTATTTCCTGTTAGGTTAGCAGGGTTTATCTTGCCCGTGCTTGTTACCTTTAAATGCCCTTTTGTGGCTGCTTTGTCATTTATGAAGTTAAAGTGCTTTGAGATTCTTGTTAACTTCAATAGTCAGCAATGGGAAGCAAGTACTGCTTGATGTTTATGCTAAGGCATAGAAGTTAAACATCAAGTCCAAGGTCAAAGAATCAGAAGAAATAAAGTTTAAATTTCTGCTTCTTTTCCCTTCAGACTGGATAATTTTCTTTTCCTCCCTAGAGTCAGATCTCTGATAAGGTAGGAAGAATTAAAACTGGAAATACTAATTAATTGACAGCATGAATATATTTGCTTATGCATCTAGAACTTAAAATACAGCTTAAGGCTCTTGCTTTCTTTTAATCAGTTCCTTTTTCTTGATACAGACGCGTAGGAGAATCTGACTACAGTGACGGAGAGGAGGATTTTTACTACACAGAAATCAGGCTCAACACGGACTCAGTAGCTGATGGCCTAAGCAGCCTTTCGCCAGTCTCTCCATCTTTAGCATCTCCTCCTTCCTTTCCCACCCAAGACGCAATCCGTCCTGAAACTTCCTGTGCCAAAACTGAGACTAAATTGATGACACCTCTGAGCCGCTCAGCTCCTACCAACCTCTACCTCGTACACACGGACCATGCTTACCAGGTAATGCTGCTCAGGGTGAGCTCCACTCACTGCACTGACTTCATTAATGTAGAAGATGTCTAAATACTGTGTTTAGATTTTGAAAAGCCAAGCTTAGTTTTAGTGAGTCAGAGAGTTTCATAGAGCAAGAACAGTTAATGGGGCTTGTTTCATTTAAACCATATGTCCACTTCTGGGTTAGTACTTTCTGCTCTCACCACAGCCAGTGGACTTTTGGGTACAGTCTTCCAGTCCTGTGTAGAGTCATTGAATTGCTCAGGTTGAAAAGATCTTCAAGATATCAGGTCCAACTGCAACCTAACCATACTACCCTAACTCTGACAACCCTCTGCTAAATGGTGTCCCTGAGCAGTACAGGTGCATGCTTCGTGTTGAGAAGAGTTGCTCTGTGTTTTTTATTCCACTGCCTACTCAGTTATTTCTCCAATGACCATAAGGAACACCTAAGGTGACGTGTTCTCGTGTGGTCTCCTGCATTGTAAACAATCTCTATCAGTCAGCTAAATCCCTCCCAGAGTGTTAGCTCTGCTAATACTGAATGTCTGGAAGCAAGTACCCAAAACATGCTAGGAACAATTCCTTTCCTCTGCTGTGTGCAGCATGAGATGTCAGTTTGCATATGTGAAGAAGAGCAGGAAAAATGAAAAGAACGTATGTGATACCCTCCCGCTCTTAGAGATAATTCTTTGCAAATGGGAAAACTCCAGTCGTATCCAAGGTGCTGTTCAAAAAGCTTCCAACTAAGTTCAGACAGAAGGCATTAATTGGGAAAGTGCACTAAAATTTGGTATGTTTTGGTCTGGATGCCATATGAGAAAATACGAATTGAGACTTTGAAGTGGTGTGGTCCGTGACCTGCGTATGCACTGGAGAACTGAACTCAAATTTGTCAGGCGCAGTAACTCTTGTATACAGCATGGTGCAGATAAAACCCGTCTGTTGTTTGTCTGGAACAGCACAGTTTGATCTCCCACGCACTTTGGAAAGCATGAGTGGAAGTCTGGGACCTCAGGTGGGAGCTGCATCAGGTAGTGCAGCAGCCTGGGCACTGATGAAGCCAGCTAAGAGAAGGACTTTCTTCTCAGTCTCGCTTGAGCCCTGCCTCTCCCATAGTGAGGTACCAGATCCTGGCTGCTCGCTTCGTCTGTTATTTGTAGGGCTTTTTTTGCCATGTTCTTTCCTGCTGTATGAAGACTCACTCAATCCTCCTTTATATAGCAGAGAAAGGATATGCCAGCCCTTTCCATTTTTTTCCAGCCTTTGAATAACACACTTGATTAAGGAAATTCTGTTTGAAATGTTTCAACTGCTTGAATTGGATTGGGACTGATGTATTCCATGGTATCATACTGCATGTGCCTGAACCCTACAAGTGCCTCCTTGTCACGTTGCTCCATTTTGAGTACTTCATTTTATCAGTGAGGAACGACCCTGTGCATACTGCATAAGGCATTCTCTTGAACTGAGGTCCCTGTTCCAGTTCCCGTTCAGGTTTTCTTTGCCAAAGAAGCAGCTTATGTGGAGCAGATCAGTGGGATGCAGTGTTCAAGTCTCCATCCCAACCAGGGGAGGCACCCCACCACGTGGAGTTACTGTATTTTTCCTGTTGCCTTTCAGTGAGGTTTTTCTCTTTCACTGAACTCAGCAGACATGTGCTTCCTCGAGGAGTTGATGTGTCTGTATTTAACCTCTTGGAACTGCAGCCTCAGCAGCATTGGGAGCATAGCTGCGATAGATGGAATCATTCAGTGGCCTTGGTTTCTTTTGCTTGGAGAGATTCCAGAGAATTGCTTCAGCAATTTGCTCCAAAGAATATTTTTAATGGGAACAATCAGATAGCAGTTTGTCATCGCTCCTTCTCTTCAGAGTGGTTCAGGGAAGCAGTGAGGTGACTCCAGCAGCCTCAGACACAATCTCTACTTAGATAAATGCTTCGTGTTGCTGTGAGATTCAGTGACTGAAAGACAAAAAGAAAGCTCATTTTTAAGAGCAAATTCTTTGTAAATTTTAATCAAGAAGTCTTTTATTTTTTGGGGGGGATGAAAGCTTGAATCTCAGGAGTCAAGGGAAGCCTGTGTTGATAATTGTCGCACTCCTGCCAGAGTAAATGTGAGGTAATGTGAGGTTACAAATTTCCTGACTCTGTCAAGTGAAGAGGGATGTAAAATGATGGAGGAAAGGAATTCCAGGGGGCACAAAGCCAAGTGAGAAAAATTGAGGGAAGACATAAGATGAAAAATACCAAACAATCCTAAGCTGAGCTGGTTGAGGATTGCAACCCGGGTATTACTGGGTGTTACAGCCAGATGGAGGGAAGGTGAGAGTTCTTTGTACTGAAAGCGACCTTCAGATATTTGCTTTAGCTTCGGCTGTCATTGAATCCCAAGCTTCTTGTTTTTAATAAGAGCAGCTGTTCTAATTGGGATGAAACATTTGTCTGATGAATGAAAAATGGCCAGCCCTTACTGTTAATGCTGTTGTCCAAAAGTCCTCTCCATCCAATCTTCAGTTACTTTAACCTGCTGTCACCAGTTTATATACTTCCTTGTTTATCACTGTGGGTAGGTTAATCATTTGTACTATTTTTTTTGCTGCCAACTGGCATTATTAAAACAGGGTTGTTTTTTTAATATGGTACTTGAGTTCATGTTTTTTCTACCAGACCCAGGTTTTAAAGGTTTTGCATGGATTCTTGTGAGAGCTATCATCTTCCTCCAAACAGGGTTTTAACAAGAGCAGTATATAAACATGTTCCTTCCTTACTGGCTTATCTGTGATTATCCTTCTCAGCAACAGGGTAAAATGCTTGTCACTGTCAGCACTGTGAAGGTTTTTTCCACCTCTGAAGCTCTCCTGCAGATTTACAGTTTTAAGGGGTAAAAGATCCCTTGACGTGCTTTGGAAAATGAATGGTTCTTTTACTGGAATGATATTTTCTTTTCAAACAGGCCACTCCTCCAGTGAACATTCCAGGGTCAACTAAATTCACTCCCAATGGCAGTAGCTTTAGCATCTCTTGGCAGTCGCCTCCAGTTACCTTCACCGGCATCCCAGTAAGTGAATGACAAGAAAAAAGAAAATAAAAAAAAAGAAGGAAAAAAAAATATTGAAGAACTTTTTGTGTTTTCAGAGTATCTCATAACAGCAGTGATTTTGACAGAACAGGTACAGAAAAGAAATAAGTCACGTTATGCCCCAGTTTGCTTGTGTGACTGACTGTAGCCCTCTTGCCAATCTCTTAAATGCAATACAGTGCTTTTTCTCTTTTGTTTTGTTTTGTTTTTTGCCTTGGACCACAAGCAGAGAACAGGATTGATAGTATGTGTTTTAAAATACCCATTTTCGAAAGAATTTTCGGGGAGGTGCAGAACCCGTCACTGCATGCTGCTTTTTCTGCCACTAAGAGATTGCTTATGAGGCTGGAGATAAAACTAACAAGGCAGTGGTTATGTTAACAGGGTAATTGGAACCAAGCAGCAGGGCTGTTATCTAAATGAACTCTGAAGATGAAGTATAGTTGAAAGGCAGCAGAAGGAAAGAAATAAAGTATGAAGTCTGACCCCAGTAGGCTACAGGGATGTAGCCTCTACTGACAGCAGAAGGTTCTGTAATTTTGCACAAAACAATGCATGTAATACATAAAGTATTTTTAATGTTACTTTTAATATTAATACGTGGTGCAGCGTGACAACGTTTTAATGAAGTATTGGATGCAAAGTCAGCTCTGGCCCTTCCTTCACATAGATGGATAATGTACGAGGCCGTATTTCTTTACAGAACTGCAGAAATTGGTTGTTTGCTGAAACATAGGTTTCCAGTAGTCCTAAACGTGAAGCAGTGTAGGTGTGGATACTGTAGGGGGAGGTAAAAACCTTAATGAAAGCTTCAGAGGGATTAGGTGTCTAGTGCCTCGCATGGTGAGTGCTAAGAACAAACGTAATCACTGCCTTCAGTAAAGGAAGATCTTTTATGTAACAAGGAGAAATAAACATATATCAAATTTATTCTGATTTTTATTAGAAAGCATTTTTTATTATAATTTAAGATTCCCTAGTCATGAACTCACTTCATATAATAGTGTTTCATTTAATATTGTGCCTTCTGAATTTTTACAATGTATTGCATAACACACATTGCTCATTTAAAGATCCATATAGCTTTTTGTCCTACCACCAGTGAATATTAGACATGGTGATAACAGATGCTATTTCCCTCCCTTTTCTTCACCAAGTGAATCTCCAAAGCTTCTTAACGTCAACCTTTGGCAAATGTTGGAGATTTTCTCAGACTGTGGTATCCTGCAGGTCTGATAAAAAATGAAAGTGGCTGAATCAATTACGCTGTGCTCTGCCAATGAATATTTATTAAGTTCTATCAAGGAACAGCTCACAGTGAAAGACATCATGCTGTCAGCAATTTGAACAAGAGCGCCTCGGCAGAGCGTGCTATCTGTGAAGTTCCTCGAGTGTTTGATTTCACAACAATGGGGTTGATACAGAGCAATGACAAAACTGGCTCCTTCTGCGGAGTAGCAGAAACTGGTGCCAGTAGTGTTGGGAATCTAAAAGTGCAATTATCCACACTGTAAATCACACACATAAGCCGACAGGATTATACGTGTGCGTTGAGTTTGCTTGCTCAACCAACAACATTGAACCCTAGCTTTAGAGCTGACTCTTCTCAAGGGAATTCAAGAGATGCCAAACCACTTTCACAGAACTGCGTGAAGATAGCAGTGATGTAGGCACGATTCAGAAATAATCCCAGTACAAAAACCTCGGGAAGTGCTGATGATAGCAGAATAATAAAGCACTCTGGGAACCACATGAACTGATTTTTATGTGTCTGCTACGTAGGTCGCAGTAATGCTCCTATTTATTTCCAGGGAAACTCCAACAGATACAAAGAGCACAATGGCACTATTTGATAGAGCATGTTCTCAGCTAGAAAGGCATTTCTTTTGGAGCAGCCCTTGTAATATTTATAGGGCTGCCAGCCAAAAACAACCTTTTAAGTTCATGCACACTTTCATATTCTGTCAGCAGTGAGATCATTTAAGAATGAAAGCCTTGCCTGTAGTGGGAAGTGATGTGTGGTAAGAGCAGATGTAAATACAAAGTGATGCTAAATAACTGCATATTAAATGAAAGTTGCATTTCGCTTGTGTTTTTTTAAGTAAATGACGTATTGCCTTACAAAAGCAGGGCTGTGTTAATTTTCACCCTTGCAATGAGTGCAACTCCTTTTGGAAAGTGGTAGTCATACAGTGGAGCTTCTCTGCCTCACACAAGGCTTACATACAACCAGCCTGTGACAGAGCCAGTGGAATACATGCTTTGCTCTGAGCACTATGCATGCCTTTCTGTATGTATTTGGCCCCTGAGGTTAGGTGCATGTCCACAGCAAGCAAGGGAACTTAAGAGGGTAATTCCAAGCCATTACTTTCTGTCTTACCCATAATAGTTACAGGCAATTTTCTAAAATAGCTTTGGGCTACCTTTTTGGCTGGTGACAAACCACTGGGAAGTAAAAAATGGGTATGGATTTACAAAAGTATGTAGGCTACAAATTCTTTCGTGTTACCAGCAGTGTGGGGATAGGATGAGTGTGTCGTGCCAAGAGGGCTGTTGAACCAAGAAGGCTTACAGTGCATAGTAAAGGACTTAATTCAGTGCAGCTTGTTAGCAGCCATGATCAGTAGGACTGTCTTGCACTCCCACTGAAACCTGGGGGGCTGCACTGTAACTGGCCTGCAGCAAACTCCCTTCTCCCAAGCTGTCCCTGCACAAGAGTCACAGGTTAGAGCAATGTAAAAAATCCCTTCATCTCACAAGAGATTATTAGTATTCATTGAACACAGGCTGAGGTCTGTTTTTGTAATTATTTTAAACTGGAGAATTTTAATAAGAGCCTTTCAGAGTCTTAAAAAGCATGAATGCATGCATTTGCTGTATTCCCCCAAATCTTAAGTGATGCTGCTCTGTACTCTGGCTTACTCTGCTTGGGTGACTAGACAGAGAAAAGCAACGTGGAGCTGATATCATGTACATATTTACACCTCCAGCTTCTTCAGACCTTTAAATTATTTGTATTTGTATGCTGTTTACTGACCTCTCCTTGGTATCTCAGCCACTGTGTATCACAAATTACTTTTTCAGGAAGCGGTTCTATCTGTGACAAACAGCAGCAGTTTGATTACCGTAGATTTAAAAGTGTGTTTCTATTGCATTCATGTCTGCACGCAGTTCATAAGTGACCTTTTTGTCTGTATTGACAGGTCTCACCAACTCACAATCGTCCTGCCGGGAGTGGAGAGCAGAAGCAGTCCCACACAGTTCTTTCATCACCACCCAGAGTAGCGTTTGGATTGAGGTATGGGACCATTGGCTCCTGCTGACAGACCAGTAGCTTCAGACTTTGGGGGGTGTTTAGTACACAAGATGTCGGTGGCCACAGAAAAAGAAGAACTACAGCACCAAGTGTGGTTGCAGTTGTCAGGTAGCTTCTTACTGGGACATTTGGGGTTAACGTATCCACGCTTTTCATTAGCACCAGAAGTAAAGTTCAGGGGAAAAATGAGTTGTCGGGGAATGAAAAGGGCACAGACTGTGAAGGAGAACTGCAGGCCTTACGCCAGGTAGATCTGGAGTTCAGATGCACATCTAAACTCCCCTGTAAAGCAGTGGTATGCAGATCCACAGTTCCATTTGAAGCATCTTGAACTTTGTTGCTTTTTTCTCTGAAATGCTGTTGCATAAAAAAAAAAATCAAACTGCAATGCTGTATTTCTTCTAGTAAAGAAACTCTTCGTTTCTCACAGTCCTAAAAGGTGACTGAACCCTAAAAAGACAACAGAGAGCACTGGGAAGATTTTATGCTTTTCAGTTTCAGTGTGACTCTTGGATCATCATAAGTGCTATAAATGGAACTTGGGATGTTCCCAGTTCATGGACTGTGCTTATTGTCAGTAATAAAAAAACTCATGAATATGCAAGAGAATAATCACAAGGCAGCTCCTGTGTGCCATGCAGTATCTCATGCAGGTATTAAACAGTTGTGTCTGGCTGTACACTCATTTGACTTAAGGACTGTAGGTCTGGCAGCTCTGCTGTCATGAGCATTGGGTCATTCCTTGTAGATTGCTCCTCAGGTTTGCTATGTGTTGAGTAGTATTTTAACATTTATCTTAATCATTTTCTGCAATTCTCTTGTGAGCTTTAAGTATGGTGGTAGGATGGAATACATGACAATCACGGTGGCTTTAAAAGCAGGTACTGCCTGCCTTGCTGGTTTCAGGGAGGAAAAGAGCACACGTGAACACAGAATCACAGAATGGCCCAGGCTGGGAGGGACCTCAAGGATTGTGAATCTCCAACCCCCCTGCCACAGGCAGGGCCACCAACCTCCACATTTAATAGTAGACCAGGGCCCCATCCAGTCTGGCCTTGAACTCCTCCAGGGACGGGGCATCCACAAGCCCTCAGGGCTGCCTGTTCCAGCACCTCACCACTCTCATAGTAGAGAACATGTTGCAGCTGAGGGCTGAAACTTGTTTTTAATTGCCTGGATGTTGTTCAGTCTGTGAGCTCAGCAAACCACGCAGGAAGGATGTACAAACTTAGGAGCTGGCAGCTCTTCCTCTCTTTTGCATAGCTGCTGCATGCCTACAGCCAAGGTCTGCTGTGCACTGGGCAATGTATTTGTAGCGCAGCGCTACAGCAGAGAGCACCCATGTGTGATGTGAGCCTGGCTGTGCTGTGGGATAGCAGTGGTTGTCCATTACACCTTGGCACTGCGTGTGGCTAAAGTAACACGAATGTAGACCAAGCTGGGCCTGGCTGAAGTAAGGGCTGTGCACCAGCCTTGGAAGAGGGGAGCAGGCTCAGCAGCTGCAGAGGCTTCAGCCTTGCCGTGCATCTGCTTGCTTCATCGCTCTTGGTCAGCTCACAGATGCACCGCAGTCTCTTAGAAAGTGAGGCGTGCTCAGCCATCTGCTGAACTCACTGTCCTGACCTGGGGAGGTGAGGCCAGGCTGCAAAACCGTAGTGTTAACGAGCTTCCCTTTCTGTCTGACAGGAAGCCGAGAGGGGAGGGGAAGAAGTGTCGGAAGGTCTATGGGATGGAGAACAGAGATATGTGGTGCACTGCCTGCCGGTGGAAGAAGGCCTGCCAAAGGTTCATCGACTGAAGAGCAAAGTTATGCAGAGGATTTAGGGATGGGGAAGGACAACGACAGGACCAGATTGCTACACCTGCACTGTATCACTTCCCGTTTCCCTCCAGTGATGTGGTGTTGGGATTTTTGTTTTATTATTTTTTGATTTGTCGGTTGTTTTGGTTTTTTTTAACAAAGAGAGCTTTGTATCTCCAAGTGAAGCACTTGTAGCCAAGGAGAAGCACTAATTAAAACCTGTGTGGAGCAATAGAGCAAAAAAAAGTAAAAATAAAAAGCAAAACCAAGAACACACAACAAAATTCTGTCTTACGAAGTATTGACACCGGAGCAGCTATCAGTGTTTTTCTGTGTTGGTTTTTTTAAAAAAAAAAAAAAGGAAAAGTGAATTCCTTGCTAACTCTCTGAACTATTTGCTCCTTTGGGTTATTTTTAACCATTGCAGTCTCTTTGCTGCCAACATCTGTATTTGCTGAACTGGACATTTTTTCTTTTCCTGAAACGAAGATCTCTTTTTGAAAGCTTTCTAATAAACACTTCAGAGTCATATAAGCTACAGTTTACTCAACAAAAGCTGTAACTAAGACTGGAGACTGCTAAATAATTCTCCTGATACGAATGATCACGATGATATTATATTTTTGGAAAGGGGCTGTGGGAAGGAGTTGGGATTTTTGTTTGTTTCTTTCTAGGAGAAAAGAAAAGGCGGAATTTTCCTGAAGGACAAACTGCTCCTGGAAGGCTTTTAAACCATACACAGACCAGCAGAGTGGAAAGAGTAACTCATGTACCAAACTGGATTTCGAGCCTTTGGAGGAAGAGAAGCAGCAATGGACAGTCACCAGCAGATCCATCACTGCCAAAGTGGAGGGAAGAAATGCAATGACGGTTGATGGAAATCCGTAAGAATATAATGGGGGTCCGCTGGCTTTTCTTACTGCTCTTCCTGTTCATAGGGAGGAGCAACAGCTGGACCAGCACACGCGGTGCTGCGGTAGGCCTGTAAAGAGCTGGGAGATGCACTAGGATTCCATGTAGTACCTGTTCAGGGACACGATCCAGTCCAGCAGTTCTGCTCTTGCTTCCTTTTCTCGTATTCGAGAGATGGTTAAGATCATGGTTTGCTCAGCTTTGGTTTTTTTTTCTACATATTAAAGTTGCTAAAATTTATTTTGCGCCAAAAAAAAAAAAAAAAAAAGAAAAAAAAAAAGGTAAAGAAAATACCACAAAGTCATCTCAGAAAAAGAAGTACAACAGCTAAGGAGCAACATATGTATGGTAAAGGTTCATTTCTTAGCTCGTTTTGATAAACGAAGTGATGGGTTTCTATACTTGCAGATGTTGGAAAGATTGGATACTTCCATGTCTCTGTCCATTAGGAAGTACACCTGAGTGTGGGAAGCTGTGTTCTGTCTCAACTTACGTGGAATTGCCATTAACTGACCATTATTTCAATGCAGAAATAAAATAAGGATTTACTATGATATGAATGTATACCAGTAAATGACACTTGTCTGTTAAACAAAGCAAGACACCTTAAGGGGGAAAAAAGAAAAGCAAAACTTTGCTTCTTATGGAGGCGTAGAGGCCCAACATTTCTGGTTTTCTTTTCTTCAGACCATTTGAAATTAGACCAGATTTTTTTGTTGTTAATTATTTAATCTGCCTTCTCCTCTCTGAGATAAGGGACTCTTAATTATCCTGACAGCTTTCTAAAATCTGGTCCAGAGTTCACTTGATAGCTTTATTGAGCATGCACTGCTGCTTATGCTTGTGTGAAAGCACAGAACAACATTGCGGGCATTGAGAACGTGCACTAGGAATTCAGCAAAGCAGTACTGAGAGGTGAAGGATATAATAGAAGCTACTGGAGGATGTCATCTGGGTTCTTTTTAAACAAGTTAATTGGGCAATCAGATGCATAATTTGAGCGTGCTATTTCTGCAGTTGTTTACAAATTGTGTAATTTACATGCACAAGCAGCAAGATATGCTTGCATGCACGCAATTTCTTGCTTATTTGCCTATTGTGTTCTGTAAGTCATTTAAGAAAACAACAGGAGGTAGGCTCAAAAACATAGGTTGAAATAAATACACGTATGTATGTGTGTATCTATGTATGTGCACACATACATGTATGTATACGTAAAATCTGGAATCAGAAGGGAGGAGAAAGATTGGGTATCCATAGCCACTGTTTCAACATTGTTTTTTTCCCAGCAAAATGTGGGTTTTCTCTGCATGTTGTGTTGTTTTGGTTTTCTTAGTAAAACACCTCTGGGAATTCATAGCTCCAAATTTCATCTTTGAACACTTTGTGCATTTCTGTAGTAAGGCTTACTAGACCTGGGTCTTTCAGAGATGCTTCTGCTAATTTGCCCCTGTTTTTACAAGCACTGCTAAACTGATTATAAGGCATCTCATAATTCATTTGGCTATCGTAAGACCTTCAGTATTTGCTTATATATTTGTTCTTCCCCTCCTTTTGTGTTTTGCCTGTTTGCTTTGGAGAATTTTGTAAAGATAATGTATTAGAATGTATGTTATTTTCTTAACGTCATGGCATCATGAGAACCTTTCCTGAGGGCACTTTATGAATTATTGTAGTAAGATTATTCTTTATAGATTTCTGCACAGAAGATGGGTGGTGTTGTCAGCACAGATCGCTCTCTGGTACACATTTCATACAGATTACGTATAGGCACAAGAGCTGCGAGTCATCAGGTGTGACAGAGAAGTTTTGTTAAGCTGAGACTCGGAAATGCTTCAGCCACCACAGATTCTGCCAGGACAGAGTTAAACAATCCGTATTTTCACACCATTGGCAATCAGCAGAGTTTTTATTGAATGAGTTTGGTATCTTTAGGCTGTGGCATTTCTGGTGCTGCATCTCGCTTGTGGCCTAGGGTGGCACAGCCCTTGTGCTGCCTGAGGCCATCCCCCAGTGCTTCAGATCTCAAGTTCAGATTGTTGCCTGTCCTGGCATTACCAGGCACCATGCTTTGCGTCCAAGTTCTGCACAGTTCCTTTTAGAAAGAGTAAAATCCTTTGTTCCCCAGGGAGGAACTGGTTTGAAAGGCAGCTCAAACCTTGGCTCATTTCTCATCATTGGTACCCACCATTTTCTGTAATTTCTGTGTTTGTAGTTTTATAGGCCTTCATCTCTGACCTTCCAGAGAAGTCGGGAGGAGTGGCCAGAGTTTATCATGCGGTGTTTGTGTGCTGTGGGTGCTTGGGTGTGTGTGTACTTATGGCAAGAGCTGGGACCTCTCCCTGAGGTGTAAGGATGGAAGGATCTGTGTTAGCAGTGTAGCTAAATACTGCTGTTGGTGCTGCTTGGAGAAACTGCCCATGTCAGTGTCCCAGTGGCTATCAGCAGCATAGCTCCCACATCTTTTCTTCAGCTCTCTTGCTTGAACAAAGCTACATCCCGTGTCATAGAATCATAGAATGGCCTGGGTTGAAAAGGACCACAATGATCATCCAGTTTCAATGCCCTGCTGTGTGCAAGGTCGCCAACCAGCAGACCAGGCTGCCCAGAGCCACATCCAGCCTGGCCTTGAATGCCTCCAGGGATGGGGCATCCACAACCTCCTTGGGCAACCTGTTCCAGTGTGTCACCACCCTCTGTGTGAAAAACTTCCTCCTAATATCTAACCTAAACCTCCCCTCTCTCAGTTTAAAACCATTCTGCCTTGTCCTGTCACTATCCACCCTCGTAAACAGCCGTTCTCCCTATTTATACGCTCCCTTCAAATATTGGAAGGCCACAATGAGGTCTGCCTGGAGCCTTTTTTTCTCCAAGCTGAACAAGCCCAGTTCCCTCAGTCTTTCTTCACAGGAGAGATAAATGATCCCATTTATTCCATCCCTAAACAACAACAAAAAAATCTGGAAAAAGAGGTATTCTAAGAAATGCAGTTTGAAAATGTGATTGTGTTCCACCTGCTTCTCTATGAAACAGCAGCTACTGGACGTTACAAACTCCAGTCATCATCTTCATAACATTTGTTTCCATCCTGATGTGCCTGATTCTCTAGTGCCTTGCACAAGTGTAAGGGGTTACACAAGATGCAAAGTGAGCAAAAACTCTTCCACAAAGCAACGTGCAGCTTTGCACTTGCCTGTGATCAATAGCGGTCAAGGCATGAGCTGGACCTACAGGGCCTGTGTGATTCAGCAGGGCAGAAGGCCAGTCCCTCGAGTTGCTTTGCCTGCGTCAGTAGCCTGCTGTGATCATTAGCTGTCTGACAATGCATGGATTCCTCACACCATTCTGTCACCTGCATCACTCTCTTCATTCCTTCTCCCCTTCAGTAGGAAAACAGACAGACAGACAGCAGAAGGCAAAGCTTTCCCAGAAAGTTCTTAGAGGACGTGCATTTAAGAGTGGATTCCAGCTCTGTCTTGTCTCAGACGTGGATTTCCTTGCCCCAGAACACTGGTTTTCATTTATCCCCACCCGCAGGACAGGCTGTGGTTTCTTGTCAGTGCTATGGGCTGGAAGCAGCTGGAGCCACCCAGCCCAGGATGCAGGGCAGTCAGTCATGGCTGTTAGCGTGGCAATGCAATGTGATTCCTTCCATCTTTCCTCTGTAAATTTGTTGAAAAATCACCTCAGAACACGCACATGAAATGCAAAGATTGCTGGCCGTATGTAGAGATCCAGCAGGTTGCTAGAGAGGCTTGTTCCTGCTCAAATTGAAGTCTTCTGTAGGGGTGTGCTCTCCTTTTCTTAAAAGCATTTGAATCGGGATATGTTTGTGAAGTCTCACCTTTATCTTCTGTTTCCACATTATTGCATCTTCCCTTAGGTGATGGCACCGGAGTTGAGACCTGCACCAAGCAGTGGGTTCAACCTGTGCTTGACAGGGGTTAGCAGGTGGGTGGCTGGGGGCTGCTGGAAAGCAGCAATGTGAGATTTTGGGCTACTGTACGCACATGACAGCTTTATGACACCCTTAGCAAAATATTTGGTAGTGCATTAGCAAAAACCCAAGAACAAGGTCTGCTTCTGATGGCACCGAGCAACATAAAATCCTTGTTGGTCCTATTCTTGTTTGTATTAGAAGCAGGAATTCATTTGAAATGTAAGGGAATGATCAATTCATTGGCAAGCCACTGTTCTGCTTTTATAATACATCACTCCAAGAATATTTTTCCTTCATTGTTAATGGGAGATACCTAAAATGCCATGAGATAAATGAATTAAGCAGTGCCAATACTACTGCAGCTTCTAAATTACTTTGGACAGTACACAGTATTACACTGTCACAGTAGGGTTTTGAGATTAAATCCAAATTCTTGATGTGCGTCTTTGTAAGACATGGTCTCTGATGTGCTTACGTGTTCATTTTTAACATCTCTGCCAATGGGAAAGGCCATGATTTCTAACTTGCATTTAAATCCAGTCCTGTTCAAAAATTTATGTTTGACCTCAGAGTCTTTATGCCGCCACGTTACACCCTATGGCCATTCGCATACAGTGCGTGACGTGCAGGTAAACAGAACTTACTGAGCTGTCTGTACACAATGCCTTGGGAGCACTAGCAAAAAAAGAGATGGTTAACACAGATTTCCTCAGGGACCACAGGAAGGCTGCAAAGGCAGGATGTAGCTTTATTTGAGTGGTAGATGGGTGAGAATTTGATTATTTCTTTTTTGTATTCTAGGCAGATTTAAAGAGCAATATGTCACTACTTGAATCATTAAACTTGGAAGAAAGCACTAACTGGTGAACGTGATCTCACTTAACACTATCGCTTATCAAGTTCTAAATACAAAACAGACATTTTAGCTGTTAGAAAAATGTAGGAAATGAGCTTGAACCATAATCTAAATATAGTACAAACCTATACATTTGTATAAATATTTTCAGAACATGCTGTAAATATAAAGGGTTCTTGTTTATATGATTGCTTGATTGAAGCGTACTTTGTTTATAATTGAACTACTTCCTACCAATTTATTTCAACAAGCAAAAAAAAAAGAACATGCTAACATTAAACCCCACAGGGTTTTTGGATTGCAATAGGAATGTGAGAAAAAAGAAACGTTGTAACTGTATATTTTATCATATGCAAGCATTTCTGAGATAGGTAAGAGGTGTCTATTATTTGCCATCAAGTGGCAGGGAACTTACCTGAGCACATCAGGAAGAAGTGTGTGAGCTGCATGAAAGTGTTGTGTACAGTGCCACCCACCTGAATTGTGGTGCACACAGCACTCCTGGAGGCACAGGGCTCTGAGGACATCAGGAAATAAGGAAGTTCACCTAAAACACGAGGATATTGTGCTTTTAAGACACAAATGATGTTGTCCCTGTGTAATTTTCTAGTGCTAAAGATCATCAGTACTTTTACTGCAATGGAAATTGCAGCCTTATTAGTAAGGTGCAATACTTACGAAGGGCTAAACTGTGGAAACAAGTGGTGAAGTGGTGTGTGGATACATCACTGCCAAATGTGCACTCTTGTAAAACTAGTTTCTTTAGCACTGGGATGTAAGTACCTCTCTAAAATTATCATGTTGGTATGATTTTATAACCATTGATTGTAAGTTATGAAACAGAATGTGGGATTTCAGAAGAACCAAAAGGAAGAGGGGAAGCTGTAAATTACATAGAATAGTGGTATGTTGTCTTATGTGGCAGAAGTAGCTGTGACACCTTTACAAAGCTGTACACATTTTGGATTACTGAAAAAAAAAATAATACCCTTGGTTACAAAAATAGTTCAACCTGAATGCAGTTTGGAAATTGCATTGATGTCAAGAAAATACCTTCTTCTGAGTAAATTTTGCTTCATTTCTTGCCTATTATTATCAGGCTTTGTTTGTTCACAATCAGTGCTCTGATTGTGAAGATATTCCCCAACTAGCAATACATGGCTTGAAATCGTGTTCATTTGAAAGTACCTTTTGAAATGGAGAGATTTCTTCCTTTACTACCCCGTATAATAATGATTTGTGCTGTCTTGAGTAGAGAGTCCATCAAGCAAATAGATTTGTACAAAAAGATTATTTTGTAGTTCTGTTATGGAAAGAATGGGAATGACCAAATGGAAGGGCTGCTCACCTCGTTCCTGGAGAATATCTGCTCTCCATCCGCACTGTGAGGTCCACAGAATACAGGGTGCCCAGTGTGGTGCATCCTGGGCTTTCGCTGTACACTAAAGACATACTGCTGTTTTTCCATTGCTTACTGCTTTTGTCATCTTCTCAGAATCCATCATCTTTTAGTGAAAGATTGGAACAATTCCATCTGCTGAACAGGAGGGGTTTGTTCTTTTCTTCTGACTTCCTCCAGTAAGGGGCCAGAGGACAAGCTGAGATAGAGACATCAGCAACAGACTTGAGCCTGGAGGGAAGACATGAAACAAAATTGCTCAGAGAAAGAAAGTAGAAGGAATCTTGTGTGTTGGCTGTTTCTACATATGACTGATGCCTGTGGCTCCAGAATAAGGTGGCACAGAGGAAACCTTGTAGCACAATCCTCATTCAGATGCTGAAGCACTTTTTCCTCCCTCGTCATGCAAACAGTTCAGCAGGAATTACTTCTAATTAGTCTGAGGAGGAGAGGAAGAGCAGAAGGTGTTGTTGTAAGGAGGGCACCTTGTGAAGCCTGCATGAACCCTGCCTGCAGCCAGGGTCCCGCACTGCATCTCTCATCCTGCATGAGTCCAAAGCAGCCAGTTACAGATGTCTCTTTTGATTTCATTTACAAGTCTGGTAAGACATCTTGTTGCACAATAAGAGCAAAATGCACTGTAAGGAACTGAGCTTGATGCATTCCATTTTTTTCTCAGGAGAGCTCCATTAGCCCTGTGGATAACTTCAGTGACCAGGACTGCTCCTGTGGGTGGCAGCTGTAGAGAAGAGGCAGTGGATTTTCCTCCATGCGATTGTTCCCACTGGCACTGGGACTTACAGACCTGTGTGTCTCCCCTTCTGAGTGCTGGAAATGAGAAATGTGCAATCAGGCTTTGTGAGAGGGGTAGATGTGTACCTAGAGATGTGCTCACTGCTGCTAGGCCTTGGTGGCCTTTCCAGTGATACCAGAGTGACTGTAGGTTGGATGTGTCATTTCGGCGTGGATTTAAGAGCTGCTTAGCACGTGGTGTTCAGTGTGCCATGCATCCCACTGCTGCCAGTGGGAAGGAGGTTTCTCAGAGCAGGATCCAAGATGGCTGCCAGCCCATCATGGCCAGTCGCGTAACCTGGGCCACCCGATGGGAAGTCACCCCGTGCTCTGTAGAGAAATTAATGTTCTTCTTTCCAGAGAGTGAAATGGGACTGCTCTGGTTTTGCCTAGCACTGCCATTTCAAAGCGGGTTCGATGGGCTCCTGCCCTTGTCCCCGGACTCTTCTTTCTGCTGGGGCCTGGGGAGATCTAGCCCAGGTTGTGCTGGCTTGGACCCCTCCTGAAAGCACAGCCCTGTATACAGTGCCTAACGCTGCATCAGAGTGTTGCTTCTTGGGTTGGTAGCTCTGCATCCCACGTGGCAGGCACAGTAACGGGGCCCTAGCCCCTCCTGCCTCAGCTGTGGGCTCAGTAGGGGCCTGGACACCAAACCCCTACAGCTGCACTGGCACCCGCTCACTCAGATCTCCTGCAGTACTATTAGAATAGCATTGATTTTGATATGAAAATGATTTTGTAGGGAAAGTAACAGGAGTTATATTAATAATCCTATATCCCGTGAGCCATAATGTTAAGCGTGGCATGATTTTGCTAAGCAGATGCTGGAGGACTAATGGGACATGAAGAGCAACCTGTGGGGACCTCAGTCCTGCCCTGACCACAGGTACACCCTGGAGCCAAGCTGATGTTATTTGGGTTAAATGGGGAAGTGCTGTCTTTCTCTCTGTAGATCTCTGGGCCACAGAGAAGCAGGATACATTTCTTGTCCTGGTAGTGGAACTTTCCTAAATAGAAAGACCCATCTCTTCTTGCAGATTTTTGGTCTCTGGAGTACAGTGTCAGTGGGACGGTGGTGGGGAGTGCTGGGGCCTGGTGGGGAAGGGTTCATAATGTACTTGGAGAAGGAGAAAATCAATTGCACTATGATTATTTACACTGTGTGAAAAAAAGCAATTATACTTCCTAGTCATCTGCTGTTTATATTTTATATTTTAGAAGTATTTCTAGCTATAAGTCTGTAGAAAAGCAAGAGCCCAGTTACCCGGTGTTAATGAATACAGAACTTCTCATACATGCTGCTTGCATAAGACAACAGTATCCATGCATCCTTCTGTCTCTTTTTAGTCATGAAAGGGAAGTACCTGCCTGCATATACTGGTTTTCCTTTGAGTCCTATCAAGTATTGTTTTAGAGAGTATAAAGTAAATTGAAGTTCCTTTTCTGCTTTATTTTTAGAATCAGAGCATCTTCTCTTACAGTGTAAATTTACTTTTGTGGAGCTCTAATGTGCTCTGCATTGCACTTTATATATTTGTCACTTGTTGGGCCATTTATTTTTGATATACAAAACAATAAAATTTTTGTTACTCTAGTTTTACCTAGAAAATAACCATGAAACTAAGATGTTTGTATAAAAATGCAAGTTCCATAAAATGTAGCAAATGAACTATTTAGATTGGAAATGTTTTTAATGATAGTGCTGAGAAATATTATAGCCTCTGAAATGATTTACTATTTAGGAAATTCAATATATTTATGGATAACATGAGTATCCACTGGAGTATCAGTCAATGGAGTATGAATAAACAGGAGACAAAGCTGAAGCCGTTGGATTTGCTCCTATAAAAGACTTGTATTAGTTCAACTGATATGAGCCTGAGATGGCCTTTGGCTCTGCAGGGCTGCACTCATGCCAGTATGACTGACTACCATGAGAAGCCAAGATGCTGTTTCTGCTTGTTTTTTTTCTGGCTTTATCCCCTCCAGCCTGGGGAACCAGCGTCCTAAAGACAATCTTCTTGTTCCTAAGTGCACTAATGAAGAACTCGTCTTCCCCAGAATTTTGTTGTCAAGCATGGGACGCTAACACTGTCCACATGTAGGTTAATATGAGTGCCAGTTTCACTGCTTTAAATGGAAACCAATTTCTCTGCCACTGCACAGAATCTCTTGAAATTTTGTGGAGTATACTGAAAGAAAAAGACATTTGCACTTTGTCCAAACTGCGTTTGCTCCAAATCACAGCTGGTACTGTGTGTGCCTGCGACAGCCATCCTGCAGAGCCGAACCGTGAAGGGGACGAGGGCTGCGATGCCCCCTCCTTCACGTGGTGAAGCATTCTCCCTAGCTGTACGCACAGGTTCTCTGTGGAGAGATGGATATCCCCGTGAAAGCTCCTTGTCAGCCATGCAGCAGAGTCCCTGTCCCCCTTCAGAGCCTTCAGACGCTCTGCTTTCTCATTTCTGCACCCATAGGTGCCAGCAGAAGTGAATGGCTCAACCTCACAGTGTGAAGACAGTCCCAGCTTGAGTTGCGAATGCATCACCTTGCCGTTGTTTCACACAGCCTCACCTTCACCTACAAAAGATAAGCAGGGCCAAGGGACTCTGACGGATGGTGGTTCTTCAGGCAGCGCACACAGCTCTGCTGCCCAGCTGCTTTCTGCATTCTTGGATGTGTTTGAAGGAAAGTTGAAAAGAGAGGAGACTTTTGCAAGTAGCTGATACTGGCAATCTCATTTGATCCTGCCAATCTGAGGCAGTGGTACAGATGTAGGTTCTTCCACTGCTGGCTGCTTGTACATGGCTAAACATCAGCCAGCACACACTGTTTCTTAAGCTGAAACCCCTCTCAGAACAGGAAAATGCCACCATGAAGACCTTTGTTATCTCCCTCCCTGTCTTCTTGTTGCACTGGCAGCAGGAGAAAAGTGCAGAAATCATAGGAACCTGGCCATAACTCATCCAAATGCCTTTGCACTGCCACAGGCATTAGATGAAAAACTCGGAGCATCCAAAATTTCTCTAGGAATTTTACTGTTACTTTCTTGGGGAAAAAAAGGATTTAAAGTCTTTGGGTCCACATCTGAGTTGATTTTGCATGCTGAATCAAGAGCACTTCCAACAACCTTCAGATACATAGGCAGTTATCCGTAGTACAAGTGATGCTACTCGAACGTTTTGATTATTTTTCTTAAAACATTTGTGAAATTAGCAATGTGCATATTAGTATCTTTAAATCTATGAAGAAAATAACATTAAATATTTTTTAAAAGCATGTGCTTTCACTTGAAATGTGAAAGAAAACTACTGAAAGTATGTAGTTTGCTAAGCACTGGCTCCTGAGTTTGTTAATGCACTAAACTTGCATTCGACAGAGTAACTTCTTCTAAGTAATAATTTCTTCTCTAATTATTTGAATAATTCAGGAGATGAACAGTTTGTTTCTGGTCACTGGGTTTTAGAAAGAAGAAATCTCGTCCTGCTGCACTTTTAAAATTCAGTATTTGTATGGAAAAAAAAATCTTGTTGCTTTTCCATTTCCAACTGAATGATCAGCTCAAATAAGGATCTGAATCATCTCGTAACTTTTTTCTAAAGTAAAAACTGAGAACATGAAAAACCGTGAACGCGAGGAATGGTGCACAAAGTCATGAACTATGTTCAGAATTCTGATTGGTGAAAGTCTTTGTTAAAATTATGTTGTGTTGCACATCACCCTGATACAGTGAGAAAACAATTTTTCTTCTGAAAGAAAGAAGGAAGAGGGAAAAGGACAAATGGAAAACAAGATTAAATGACATCAGTTAAACCCAGGTTTCCTGCTTGTTTTTAGGTCAATCCCTCCCATTCTGTCACTGCTATGGGATGCTCAGGACAACAGACATTCCTCATGGGAAGCAGCTCGGCTCCAAAGTGGGAAATCAAAGCTGTGAGCAAATTTGTAGAGTTTTCAAAATATTAGCTATTGCCAAAAAAAGCATCAAAGCACTACTTGCTACTGAACGGGAATTTCGGTGTTTCAAAGGAATCACTTTTTAATCCAGATCATTGCTGTATTTACAAACAGATTTCTGTCGGTCTACTTGCTTGTCTCTTAGGGCTATGTATGTCCACACCTCAGAGCAGGACACAACTAATACTCAGATGGCCACAACTGAACTGGAATCTCTCGCACTTCCCAGTTACGTTACACATTTTTGAAGAAAGAGCAATCTTTGACTGAAAAACTACTGAAAACCATCTCAAAATAAGGCAACGAGAAAAAGAAACAGCTTCATTTGGGAAACACCACTGAGTTCCCATCAATCCACAAGATGCGTGCTTAGTTGCCCTCCTGTAGCTTTGTCAGATCGCATTTCTGTTGAAGGCAGGCGGTGATTAAACTACATAGCAAAGAGACTTCCTTTGATCTATGTAAATGAATGTATATGTATCAACTATGCATTTTCATCCAGCTGCAAACTGTATCTCTAAGCAGTTAAATCTAGCCTTTTTCTCAATGTTAGCAACTCCCAAACTCTAGGAAAAGAAGGTGCTCCTCATCTTTTTTAGCATATAATTCTCTCCTGTCTTGCTTCTGTGCTTTACAAAGGCAAGATGTGTGAGGGGAGAGCTGTGAGGCCCAAGGAGCACCGAGCAGGGCCATGGCTGAAGCTGGAACCTGTGACCGAGACCAGGCTGGGCCCAGCATGGTTGAGCAGAGGGCTGTGGCTGCTGCTCCAGCTCCAGCACGTCTTCCACAGTCGGGCAGCGGAGCGGGATCAGCAGCTGCTGCCTCACACAGGGTCAGTGGGAGTCTGCAGCAGTGCTGGAAGAAGCTATGCCTAAGAGGAGGCCACTGCAGACTGGGTTTACAGCCCTCGCTGTCCCCCTGTGAGAGCTTTTCTGGCCACCACAGCCCCAGGTCTGTCCTTACCTCTCCATGTCACACAGCACCCAGGAGCCTCCTCTGACTGCAGGTGTATGGCAGCGCTTGCAGTAGGCAGTTCTTCACTGTGAGCACTGCTGTGGCTTCAGGAGAGGAAGGGTCAGGCCCCGGTCTGAGCGTATCCCTGCTAGAAGGAATTAGGAGAAGTTGAAAACGGAGTCTTGTTCCTAATAAAATGAAGGAAAAAGGTGCTGCATGCAATGTTATTACTTCCATTTCAGGTTGTTGCTGTAATATTCATCAGCCCGGTCTGGTCAGTGAATTAAGTGTGTTTCTTATGGCTTATCTTGCAGGAAGAAAGACCAAAAAAAAAAAAATAATAAAAATAAAAAATAAAATAAAATCCTTCTCTCATATGCAACCTATTCAAGTATTTGATACTAGTATGGCAGCAGTGGTATTTTTATCTATCCAGAGATGTGCATTCATTTGGGTTATGCTCGATTGAGAAATATTTTTGCAGTACGTATTTGTATTTGATGGGCTGCAGCCCTTCATTTTATATTCTCTACAAGAATTAGCACGGAAATGATGCTTCCCCATTTATTGAGCTACCTGACCATCCCGGCTGTCTGCATACAAAGTATTTCCAGAACTTTGGAGGATTTGGGATTTTGGTTTGGTTTAAACACTGTCCTTCTTTAAAAAACAAAACAAACAAAAAAAAAATTAAAAAAAAAAAATTAAAAAAAAAAGCAGTGCTTAATAGAAAAGCATATTCCTTACCAGGGCTCCTGCAACGTGATGCAGAGAACCCAGTGACACGATGCAAACGCTTGAGGCCAGGTCTCCGCGGGTTCTCAGCAGCCACAGCTCCCATGGCTGCAGCACGTCCACCAGCAGAGGAGCTGCCCCCAGGAGGGGCACGTGGAGCTGCGGGGTGCTCAGCGTGCTGCAGGGGCTCTCTGGAGCTGGCACATCCTCCTGCCAGGACGTGGCCTGTAACAGCAACAGAAGGACACTGCTGCATCTCTGCAACCCGGGATGTCCTGCGGGTCTGCTGCGGCTCTGGCTGCAGTCCCTCAGCTCAGAGCTCTGAGCGCAGCTCTCGGGCTTTGGCATCACTTACCATCACAAAGGTAACTTTTTAAATGAGAAAGAGCTTCCAACTCTGGCACTAATGGAAATACTGAATACTTTTAACATATATATATATATACATGTATATATATATTTGGAAAGTATTTGAAAAGAAAAAAAAAAAGTGTGGTTTTATATACAACTTATACAACTTTTAGCCAAATAGAAGCATTCTGATTATTACTTCTGTGGACAGCTGTCCACCTGTAAATAAGTTCCTGTGTTCAGGTACCTGAACTTGGAGAAAAAAATAATAAAGACTGTTCACTGGCTATGCGCTTTGCTAGCTCTTGCTTCCTTTGTACATAAGAGGTAACTGTTTAAATGTTGGGTGGGGTTTTTTTTAATTTAACTGCTGTTCCTCTAAAGAAAGAAGAAAAAAAAAAATCTTTTGACTTTGTTTTCTCTTTTCTGAGTCAATACAAAGATTTTGTAACTTTTTACTGCAGAAATGGATAAATCCGTGGTGCTATGTGAATCTGAGAGTCAAACTGGCCATAGCAGACACACAAGTTAGGATGCACTTTTCCTGTGGCACACGATGTATTTTCTCAGAATGGACTTTCAAAGGACCATCAGATGTTTACATTTCTTCTTGTTGCCCCAAAAATCATTTTGGATATAGAAATAACCTCCAAAAATAGAGAAAGACGCGATGCATTCCCGATGGGATGAATCCTTACACCTAGCTATCTACAACAGTTTGTACAAATACCATTTTAGAGATAGTTGAAATATTGGGCTTTCATACTTTGTAATGCTTGGATGTGACAATAAATATGCTGTTGCTATCTATCTAGTCTAACCTCATTGTAGGCCTGTAATTTCCTGTTTATGGTTATGTCATGAATTGCACTGGCTTGACTTCAGCCAAATACTGACTGTTCAGCTGAAATATTCCGACTGTTATGATGTCCACAAAACATTAATTAAATGCACTTGTAACCGACTACTGAGGAGTATGTCAAGTTATTCATGTAATAAAACCCATATGTATGACTTTTGCAACTTGTTTATGCGACTTCAGTTCTTTTATGCCATGAACACCAGCACATCGACCAAGGGCCAATTTAAGTCCATGGCAGCCTTCACGTGGACTTCATTACAAACAGGACTGTCTCCCCTCCCTTGGATCAGAAGGCAGATAACACACCAGAGCATGATCTGAGACATACAAGATAGGAACAGGGACTTCAAGTTTTACACTTGGGCCCACTGATTGTTAAGTTCAGCCTTCAGCAGGTAATTACTCCTTGCCACTTCTGGGCTTATGCTACAGAACTGGTCCTCCTGATGTACATTACATTACAAGCACTTTTTCCTGCCCTGCCCTTGCCTAGCAGTGGGGGTGCTTCCCTGTGTACACTAAGAAACATTCCTGACAGCCTAAGCTTCAGGATAAGCCTTCTTTCTCATGGCAAGCCTAACAAAGCTAACAGCTTCCAACTTGCAAGTTGGAGACCATCCCCCAGAAAAGGTAAAAATTTACACTGTTTCTGTCCAAACTCTCAACTTTCCTACTAGCTTTGTTAGGTCATATTTAATTTTTCCTAATGCATTCCTACCCTCTCCTGCAAAGCCAACTGCAATATAAATAGCAGAGCTATTAAATTTAATGAGTGGTTTAATCACTCTTCGGTTCATATTTTTCTCCCTTCGGGCAACACCTCACCGCACACGCGGAGAAGCCGTCGTCCATCTCTAGTAAGGAAGATCTCTGAGCTCACCCGTTCTCCAAGGCAGTGAGAACAGCTCAGTGAAGTGCCTCCATCCTGCTGCCCACCGCTGCCAGTCGGGTTAGGGTTAGTCTGAACGGCCCCTCCTGAGCTGCTGGGAGAGCTGCTCCTTGGGAGCTTCTGCTGGAGCAGTCCATCAGCTTCGGAGATGCCTCCTGCCAAGCAGGCACCCAGAGCCGTCCAACCTGCACCATGGGAGACCTGTGACTTAGTGATTCCACAGCCAGCTCCTCTAGAAATAAAAAGGATTCTGAAGTCATAATTAGCAAGGAAGCGTTTAGTGCTATTTCAGATTAAATCCCACTAATTAAATGCCACTCTAAGAGATAATAATCTCTGCTGCTATTGATGTTTCTGAAGACAGGCACGCTGACCACCACAGCTAGCCTCATGCAAATGACATGCTTCGTAATTCTGTATAAAGCAGAAGAATTAAAGAAAAGCTATTTCAGTTTAGTGTAAGCTTGAATCCCTTCACTCCCCACAGGCTGTGGCCCTTTTTGAGCTAATTCCAGACAGCTTTAATAAATAAGTGACTACCTCACCTGCATTTGGTTTAGAAATATTTTATATCTTCACATACTTCAGAAAATGTTGAGCCAGAACAATCCTCTCTCTGCACGCATTAATAACTTTCTCTGAATTCATTTCTTTTATCTAAAATAATTCCCTAAATTCAAATTTGGGTTTCAAATACTCTTGGCTGCAGGAAAACGGGTTTTCTTGAAATATTCTGTGCATTTTATATTTCAAATACTGTCATCTTTTTCTACACCAGTGCCTTTGAGACCTGTTCTCCAAATGTAGTGTTACAAAATCATTATGTTATGGTCTTGCTTCTTGTGTGAGATCCCAGTAGGAACTTGTTGCATTGAAAAAGAACATTTTAGCAGTGAAAGTGCTGCTTCAGGAACAGTAGTATTTGGTTCCCCTTAAATGAAGGCATTATTTTCTATTTTACGTGCTTAAGCTGTCAGCTTTTCTCTTCTCCTCCCTCCCACTCTCTTATGGTGCCAAGAAAAATATTTCAGTTATAAATTTGGCCTTATTAGTTTGAAGTCTGAGCTGTGAGAGATCGTGTTTTTGCAGTAGAAAACTTCTTGAATTAAGCTATAGGCCTTTACTAAACTCCCTTACAAAATGGCTGCAGGGGTTGTTTTTCCACCAAGAGCTGTTGAGGCAGAGCCTAGTACAGAGTTGAGTGAGAATGCCAAGTATTTTGTTTTTCAGAACGTTCTGACCAGGTGGGTGGATATCAGTAGCAGCTGAGGCAGATAGGTAGGGTAGGGAGAGCCTCGTATACCTTGTCCTCCTGTCCCCCTTTATGAATAGGGAATTACAGGTGAGCTTATTGTCCTCCTGTTCCCCTTTGAAAAATGAAAAACAGGTGGATGATAGACCTAGAAGCATACCTTAGCAACTACTTCGGGTAGGTTGTGAGCTTGAGATGCTCGGCCAAGGAGTGCCAGAAGAGATGTGACACACGTTGGAGAGAGGATACGGAACAGAACGGACTTCGCTGACACGGTGTGCAATTCCACCCTCGCCACAAGGGTGCGTGCATCCATTACTGCAGTAATGAATAAACTTTGCTGCTCCACAGAGATCGCTGCCTGACTGGAAATTGCTGATCTTTCAGCGTTTCTCACATAAACTACACTTGTTCTTTTAGCTAATAGAAGTAAACACTACATTCAGTGTTTTGTTCTAAATTTAGCTTTGGAATGGAGAAAGAAAGAATCTGCACTTTCTTGTCTTACAACTTCCAGATGTTACCACCATGAACAGATAAAATCTATTTTTTCTCCCTCACAATCACTGGGGAAGGAGTTTTCAAACACATCAGTTTTAAGGCAAGGCAAATGTCTGAGCTTTGCCCTGTAGCCACTATAATACGGTGTCCCACTCTGAAGCAAGACTTATTTATTTGTGAAGCTGTCAAACAAAAGGACACCAATCAATCAAACAAATAAAGAACAACAGGAAAGCCAACCTTACAGACGGGGCAGGGAAAAAGGTAGGATGAATCACTACCAAGGTTTGGGTTAAACTACCAAGCTTGTTATTAATGAAGCTATAGCATAGCTTGAGGTGTCTAAATCTGACTGCAAGTCACTGATCCACCAAACTGAACTTGGTTTAGAAAACAATTTCCCCAAATTCCTTTCAGGAATGAAAACATGTAGAAAAGGGAAAAATAACTACAAACCAATCCTTTTTATCAGAGATGAGATTAAAGATAAGAGCAGGCCAAGGCTGCTGCTCAACGCCGCCGAATGCCTGCCAGTCTCACCGCCGTAGGTGGGAACCGCACGTCCCGCGCCCGTCAGAACTTGAGGCCCGACCACCGCAGCTGCAAACTTGTATAGTGCTGACCTCCTGTGGCCTGCAGTGAAGCTGCAGTTGGCAAAAGGCAGCGGCACGCCGAGCCTGGCGGGGAGCCCTGAGAGTGCGGGGAGCACAACCCCGAGAGCCTCCCCCGGCCCTTTTCATTTTCGTGTTTAACTCCTCAGAATGCAAAATCCTAATGGGAATTATAGAATGGTTAAGTTTGGAAAAGATCTCTAGGATCATCTAGTCCAACCGTCAACCATCCCCACCACATCATTAAAACATATCCCTCAGAGCCTCGTATCCACATTGTTTGTACACCTCTGGGAACGATGACTCCACCACCCCCCTGGATAGCCCCTTTCAGTGCATTACCACTCTGTCTGTGAATAATTTTTTCTTAATATCCAACCCAACCTCCCATAGTGCAACTTAAAGCCACTATCCCTCATCCTATCACTGCGACCTGGGAGAAGAGGCCAACTCCCACCCTCTTTCAAGGAGCTGTAGAGAGCATTAGAGGCTTCCCTGAGCCTCCTGTTCTTCAG